TTGATCATAAGTTTAGTTTAATCCTAGACGCCCAAGAATAATTTGGTGTCCCGCCAGTTCACCCCCCTTGAATTTTCCTTTTCAGATACAGATCCCACTCCAAATCTAGTGAAACCGAAAACGAATAAACAAGACTGGAAGCAGAAGAAGGAGCTACTTCTAGGTCGACGTTTTCCCCGATATAACAAGACTGGAAGCAGAAGAAGGAGCTACTTCTGGGTCGACGTTTTCCCCGAATTCTGGGTCAACGCACGTTTGCCACCCCCCTCCAGTTTATTCTGGGTCGACGCACGTTTGCCACCCCCCTCCAGTTTATTCTGGGTCGACGCACGTTTGCCACCCCCTTCCAGTTTATTCTGGGTCGACGCACGTTTCGCAGAATCCCCCCTAACCTGTTTTCTCCCTGATGTCTCTCCACATCCTGTTGCCTTTGTTCTCCGTAAACATGCAGAATCTCATGTAAGTCAACCTCTTTCATTCCATTCTAAACATATAAAATCTTTATTATCAATCTTTAGTTTTAAGGATTTGTGCATGTCTTATTCATGGGTTGTATTTCCATAATTTTTTGAAATTTTTGATGTTTGCATACTATGCCCGATGTTTGTTGTGTTTGTCCAGATGATATTTCCGATTCCCGTCCTTTTTGAACCTTCCTCTCCTTTTTCCTAACTCCACCTCCTAACTCTCTCTTTCCCCCCCCCTTCTCTCCTCTCAGTCTCAACTGTCTGTAGATAGATAGATATTCTGTGTCTAAATTCCTCCCGTCACGGTCTAGCTTCAAGCTACACACTAACAGACAAAGATACCCGCTTTACGCAAACTGAGTTAAAATTTCAAACTAGGTTAAAATCTTTCAGGCTCTGTGCGGTTACACTCATCCAGGAAAACCTACTTTGATCTTTAAATTTAGATTCAATTTCTAATTTTGAGAATTCAACCAATTTATTTTGAACATTCAACCAAATTCATTCAAGTCTATTTACCTGTCCAACTGCATTTAAAATGTCGGAAGAAAACTCTGTCATTCCGTCCTCTCAAACAGAAATTAGTAGAAACACCCTCATTGATAGCTTGTCCAAAGGGAATCCCAGGATTAGACAATGGCTAGATTCCCTAGCCATTGCTACGATTCAGACGCTGACTCCCGAGAATGTTGATCTAGCCTCTTCTGTCTTCTTTCCTGCTACAAGTTCAGAGGAAATCACTATGGCAACTCCGGCAACCTCGACGGTTGCCCAGACTCAGGTTACATCTGGTCTCCAGGGCGCCTCCAGCCTCCCTCTTCCAGGACATCCGAGTCTTACCACAGAGGTCATCACTAAGCTTCTCTCTCTAACAGACCAGTCCAAAAAGCTACCTGCTCACTTCATCAAACCTCCTTCTTCTTTTGGACAGTCTCCTATGACCTCCGAGGACGAACTATGCCTCTCATCTCTGAGGAAAGATACAAAATCTTCGGCAACTTTGGAATTCACTCTCCGATTTCTCAACACTTTTTGCGAGGCCCGACCCCACATCAGCGAGAAAGCCATTCTCGACGTCCTCCACACATTCCTCCCCCTCAACACTCTGGAAGCCGTAGAGTACATACGAATGAAGCGAGACGCAAGCCTCCACCTGGTGTATTCCTACTTGCAAACTCATTTCGGGAACGTACGCAGCAGAGCTGAGGTTTTCAAATCTCTCTCCATACTAACCTCCTCCATTGGAGACCTAGAGCCCATGCAAGTATTGGATAGGATCAGTAAGCTTCTTCTGCAAGTCTCTGAATCGGAGGAGGAGTGCGAGATGGCTGCTCTGAGGGACTCCCTCTCCTATCTTAGACTTCTCCTGGGTTATGATACCTTCTTAACCCTCAAGATGTACTTACAGGAGGGCAACTTCAGCGCCCTCTACACNAGCTTGAGAATATTCTCCGACAAATACTTGGGAAATCGAATGTTCCTTTATCATGCTTCCGCTGTGGGGACGGTAACCACCTGGTAAGTGACTGTCCTCAACCTTTCAACAGCCTCCGTCCTCCTAAACAAAACCAGCAGGACCGTTCCAAAGGTCACGGACCAGCCTCCAGGACATCATCGAAGCCTCTCACCCGTCAACCCTACAGTTCCATGCCTTGTTCCCTCCACAAATCCGGAAAAAATTTTCATCTTAACTCAGAATGTTTTACCCAACAACGGATGGCATGTCACGTACACCCCAGTGCTCACAGTGCTGCCAGCTGCACCAGGATGGAATTCCCCCCATCACCTTCTACTCAACCTCTTGGTCAACCTCGGTCAGGCCAGCCCCAGCCTCTGTTCCCACAGTATCAACAGTTCCCAGGACAGCCAACATATCCTCATCCACCCCATCCTCAGCAACAGAGATTCTCTCCACCGGCACGAGCACATCATGTGTCCCAGCCTGCCACGCCCACCCGTGCTCAGCCTTCAGCTCCAGCCTCAACAACCCAAGACTCCTTTGATCTAGATTCGAGGACGAAGGAGGCACTGATAGCTGCCCTCACAGCTTTAACCAATGATGAATGAGGGCGCGGGCGGAACATGGCCAGTTCTGCCGACGTCATTCCGGGAAACAAGGAAACCCAGGAAAATCAGGAAAACAAACCTGAATTAAAAAAAAATGTTAAAAAGTTCTTGAATACATTTTTGCATGTATACCGTAATTCTAATGAATTTGATAACCCCATTCAATCACAACCTGTGTTTGTTAGTGATCCATATATTGATATCGAATTTGTCAGGCCCTCTGACATAGACTTGAGTTCTCCTTCCCCTTCTGTGTGTACAAATCCCCCTGACATTGCAATGTATGATATCGATATGGATTACACCCAAACACCTGGGATTGATTCGAGTTATCCCCAATTCTCATTGCATGATAAACCCTCTGAAATGTCAATGCATGATATTGATCTGAGTCCTGAATCCCCATATTTGCATGTTGAGCATGATGATATTATAGATTATGTTACCCATAGTGAGCTTGAGATGAACTGTCCCGACACCCCTGTACATGATCAACAGACTGTACCAGATTTAATTGTTGAAAACGAACCTGCCTCCATGGTGACTGAGGTTAGAGCGGATATTCATGAAGAACCTCGTTCTACAGGAGATCTTCAGGTTAAAAACCCTAAACTAAAATCGTGTGTTTACATTGACAATAATACTGGAATTAATTACGACGAGATTGAGATTTTAAGCACTGATATATTGTACTCTTCAGAAACCGAATCTCCACCCCATAAAACCCTACAAGTTAACCGCATTCCCCCTAACCGTGTTCTACCTGAACCCTCTGACCCCGACTATCTGAGAGCAAGTGATTTTAAACACTGCGAAGATTCTTGCACTGAGCCTTTTATATGGGTTAAAAATGCGGAGAGGTTTGTTTCCGAAGAGAACAATCTGTCAAATTCAAATAGTTGCAGTAAAGTAACCCCTTTAGTTTGTGAACCTCTTCCGTCTATTACAACTGTTCCTGTAGATAATAATGATATTTCTAAGTCTTCACAGTTCAAGTTACCTAAAAGTTATTTTTCGTGGTTTAAAGACCTGTCTGACTTTGATAAAACCGGAGCGGCCGGCTACTTTGTTGATTCTTTTTCAGCCTTAAAGGGTTATCTAACTGATAAACCCCCGTTTAATGTGGAGATTTTCCACAATGCTCATCATTATGAGTGCTGTGAAAGACCTCCCCCCTCTGTGAACAGTTGTAAAAAACAGAAGAGATCTTTAGAATTAAAATTATACCTGGAAAACCTTCCAAACGATGATTTCCAACTTAAAATCAAGAGGTGGTTTGATTTGGAGAATGTCGTCTTCCCCGTCCCAGAAATTGCGAATACTCCTGCTTCTTTGGAGTCAGAGTACTATCAATCCAGCTACAAGGGTCCAACGTCTCAGACTGATAAAATGTCGAATCTAAATGATTGAACTACGGAAAACAGACGCTTTGGTTTTATTTCTGAGTAGAGAGCAAGGAAAGAGTAAAACAAGGAGTCTGGGTTACAATCGCCCTGCAAAACTATGATTAGGTGAATACTAGACTTAGTATTTTTATTTATTGAATAGGAAAGAGAGCATTTTTTGGTTGGTTATAAATATGCCGCTTTACAGTTGTCAAGTACAATAGACAGCATAACAGAATGCGTACACTTTCAGTACAGCTGTTTAAACGTCATAAGTGTCAACTCAAATTTTCTGTCTGACAAAACTATACATATAAGTGATATTTTTAGACTAAAGTGCTTATCTTTTGTGAAATTAGTGCAATTTTATATGTTCTTTATTTCTGTTTTACACTTTTTCATTTAACGTTCTATAGACTAAATAACGGGGTTGAAACTGATTTTGTACATAACCCTTTTACATTGTAATTCAAAATTATAGTATTAAAACATATTTCAGAAATGTTTAATGATATCTTTGGAGAAGTGCTTTGGAAAGGTCTAATCGAGGATAATCCCCCAGATCCAGGGGAAATACAGGAACAAGAAACGATAATTTTCTAATGAAATGTCGTCTTCTATGGATATTTAATTTTTTTCTCAAATGTCGTATTTTACTATTTTTGGGAACATGTACAAAATATATAAAATTTTTCAAAAGTGCTTTAATTATGAAATTATTGGAAAGTCTATGTAGATATATATTATAAACAGGGTGTCCCAAACAAAAATTTGGATCATAGGGGTATTGGGTACTGAGGCAACAATTTTGATTAAATGTTCACAATCATGTTAACATTAGAAATCTCGATATTTTAATTATTTCCAGGCATTCTTCGATTTCACAGATTTTTCAAATTTTGATTTTTTACATATATTCATTTGTTCAAGTGAATATATGTACCAAACAATTCACAAATTTTTGTACATTTTATGTAAGTTATCTGTTGCAGCCAAAAATTTGGATCTGCAAAGTGTTTCTGTGAGATAACAAGTATGTCATATTTAAATTTCGCAGTATGGATGTCTGTGTGATTTGTTTTGATAAAAAAACGACATATTTTTTGTTATTTATTTTTAATCCATCAAGGGGGGGGTACTTTAAAGGTATACTATGAACATATACTAAGTCAACATTACATTATTATGAATTAAATGATATTTTTGGTCTTCATTAATTATATTTTTTTCATTTAGGGGGCAGGTGAAGAACTTGTTTTGTGCCTGGATGCCGTCCACCCCCTGAGAAATCCAGATTTAAATTTCCAAAGAATAAAAGGAAGCAGGAATTGTGGCTGAATGCTTTTAAAATTGACGACAATAATGAAATTGGAGATAGCCGAGTGTGTGATCTTCATTTTGCTAAGTCTGTTCCCAGCTGGAAAATTTCTCTCGATCGGAATTCCGATTTCTGACTTGAGGAATTCCTGGGGGGGTTAATCTCAAACATCCTAACTCCTTTCCCTCAACCCCTCCTCCCCATCTGACCTTTAAACCTCCTTAGAATATCAACCATCCCTGGACACCACTCTGTATATCTATCTATCTATCTGAACATCTATCCATCTATCTATAAATCTGACTAATTATACCTATATCCTTCCCTCTAGAAAATTTCAATGAGCATTAATTGTTTTGTATCATTTTATTTAACTGAGTGTTCTTTTAACTTTATATTACATAATTTATTTACATAACATTTTATATATCATATATATACTTATACAAACAAATGTACTCACTTACAGCACAGTACAACTATCTTTTGTAATTCATAACATGTATTTTATCTACCTATCTATGTATCTATCCATCGACCTACTCATGTAATTATCTATCTACACAACCAACCACCTGTATACACAGAACTCACACACACACACACTTTCACAGTCACAAACACAACATACACTACATAACAGATAAACATACGATAATTCTTATATATTAATACATAGAATACAAATTTGTAATACTCTCTTCCGGAATCAATTCAGTGATCGTTATGTTATACACATTACTATGTGTGCATACTTATCACTGAATTCTAATTGTGGTAATTCTTTTAATATATTGTTACAGGAAATATATTAACTGCATTAGGACACAATCAGTAGATTCTACGTACATATATTATTTTTCTTTATGTGCCATCTTTTTAAAATGTACCTCTTGATCTTTTGGTATTTAACTCAGATGCCGTGCTTTCCGAGCTCAGTTTGGATTAAGTAGTCCTCGGGCATCAAATGAGACAATTTCAAATCCAAGCAGCTCCGATGAAAAGAATTAGCCAATCTTTAGTTGGGCAGGTTGACAACTTGTATCATTTAAGACCTAGCCAATCTCCATATGAGCCCAGCTGTCAACTTGCGCATTTGAAAAGATCCGCACATATACTTTCCTATCTGTACATGTATTTACAAAACACATGCAGTACTTGAAACTTTTCCAAATATTGTTTTTTATCCTTGTTAAAACTATATTGAAGTAGATGTATTCCTAATTAATTAGTTTCATGGACTGCATGGTATTATACCTTTTTCTTATTTCACAATCGGTTAAATTATAATTTGAATGTCTGTAAAATGCATGAATGTATAGCTCTGACAGCTGAAAATTATTATAAATGGCTCTTCAGCCGAGAATAGCTCTGATAGCTGAAAATTATTATAAATGGCTCTTCAGCCGAGAATAGCTCTGATAGCTGAAAATTATTATAAATGGCTCTTCAGCCAAGAATAGCTCTGATAGCTGAAAAATTATTATAAATGGCTCTTCAGCCGAGAATAGCTCTTACAGCTGAAAATTATTATAAATGGCTCGTACAGCCGGAATTGCTCTAATAGCTCATTTTTATTATTGAAATTGTAAATGTATTTTGAACAAATGTGCTGTATGTTTGAGAAATTATTAACTGACATTTATTGACTACTGATTACACTGTATTATCTGTAAAATCTCTGTAATCAATTTCATCGAAATTTTTGTGCCCTAAATCCGATTAATTGTAGTTCGAATATTTGTTAATCCTAGACCACTCTATTTGTACAATTATATATGTCTCTCCCAGGGACGTAATCAATGAATTTTGGTTTAAAATTCCTCGCCTACGCCCCTGCAGTTCCAATAAGTTCTACTCCTCCACCCTCCAATTGTAGTCCCTGACCTAATCCCCTACGTTTATATTTTCTTTCTATTATGTCTAGTTAAACCCTATTGAAACGTACTCATGTATTATGCAACTAACCTTTAAAGTTTTCCCTCAATCATCTCGTCGTAATTCCCAGTTTACTTATTATATCTCCCTCTATCTCGTTCATCTCAAATTCCAGGGTAACCAACAGCTCAATCTGTAATTAAAATAATGTTAATCAGACACTAAAACAGTGATACTATAATTGTGAAAATTTGTGTCCGCACTAATTGGTTTAATAACGAATTTATTGAGCAAGAAATTAACTCTAGCTTAAATTGTTTATTACCAGTGCTCTGTCCTTGCTAAAAAATATAAACACTTACACAAGCAATACTTCAAAACAATGTAAAATTCTTTGCATTTCTTGATAAACGCAACAAAGTGATAATTATCATAAATAATATACTAATTATGACACTACATAGTGAAAAAGTGTAAACCTGTAATCTTTAAAAATACAACTAGTGAACTTCATAAGTAACGAGATAAATTAATATTGAATAGCCGCATATTATAGAACAATGGCTACAATTAAACAATTATTATCTGTTACTTATGCTCCGAGTGAATCTGTACTATTACCGTACTAAACTATTTTCATTTCAGGAATAATTTCTACACATACCGAGCATAGTTAATCAACAAACTAATTAAGTGAAAGTCTTATCTACTTAACGGTGCCTCAGAATTTAATTTATTTTCAGGAATCCAAGACGAGGCTCACTATGCAACGTATCTATGCATGTTTATATTGACGCAATATTCATTTATCCCCATGTTGCATGACGCAATCCCCCCCTCCCCCACTTTTTTCAGTATCAGTTAAGATTTGACTTATTGCATCGCACTAACCTTCTTTTATCCTTCCACAAAATTTATCTTCAGTAATCAATTTTTTATTCTTCATTCTCCGACATGTAACCCACATTGATTTGTTTTGATGATGCAATTCTAGATTATTCCAGAAACTGTACGTGCCGCGCAACATTCTGGATTTACTTTGATACAGAAATTCGAAAAATATTTATCGTCTTCATTCAACAGACGAACTGGGATTAATGATATCCATTATTTCTAAGTGTTTTATTTCCCCTGACCATGCTTGCTTTGTGTTTTGTTTATGTCCTGTAAACTTTTATTTTTTTTCCCTTTCTCCAGTCTATTTTACCTACAACCTGAATATTTTTTTAGAATGGGGTGGATTGCTATCGCTGGTGTCCTAATCCCTTCCAGCCTTGCCTCCAGTGAGCCCCCCCCGACCCTTAATCCGTGGAAATCCCTCTTCCCCTCTCCCTCCTCCAAGCCTCCCTCACCCTTATCCTTACCACCCTCCCTGGTTTGCCCTCCCTCCTTTCCAAAATCCTCTCCCATGAGATCCCTCCTACTCATCCTCCTCATCTCCCTAGGGTCGTCAACTCTCATATTTGTCCTTCTACTAGTTCTCCTAGTTTATTTAATGGTCAGAGGGAATAAAATCCTCAATAGAAGTAATACTCCCAGAGTAGTAAATCTGGCCCTTCAAGGACTCCCTGACTCTAATCTGAATCCTTCAGCCCCTCTTTTAAGACTTCAAAATGTTTCAGCATGAATTTAATATATGTGTAGTTAGATGCAAAGATCACAATATCGTGAGTTTCTTTGAGCTGCACTAAAAATTGGGAGAACTAATCTCCGTTGGAAATATTTCCCCCTGCATAAAAAACCAGCAGATACTCACGAGATTGTGAACTCCCTGCGCCCTCGTAATTATTAACTATTATACTTGTCGAGATAAGAAAAATACTCGAGTTTTTGGTACGATGTGGTCTGACTTGGTATGCACAGTCCAACTACTTTAAAATACGTGATTTAATCACCTTAAAAAGAACTTTAAAGCAGAGTGGTTCAGCTGAGTATGCATAGTCGGACTACCATCCGGCCAAAAATGTTTCAAAAAACAATTATTCATAGACTTTATCTTTGATTAAGAAAAATCTTTAGAGTTTATTTGATAAAAATATTGAAGTCTACCTTGCCTATCTGGTTCAACTACCCCTCCTGATTATCCTTAATTCCAATTACTGAGAAAATTTCCAAGGAGCTAACACTTTTTTACAAGCTCCCAGAGAGGTAGTTGAACCAAGAGGAAACGGTTGAACTACTATCTGTAGTAATTAAAAATATTATTTTTTGCACCTGCATTCAACTTTGTTTAAATCAATAAAACGAGAATTTCACATATCACTTTATTTATATATATGACAAAATGTACATAATCCATCTCTGATGTTAACAATTTTCAGTTGAGTTTAAAGTTGCCAAAAGAAATTTTACATTTTACCAACACTTGAAACCAACACTTGAAACCAACACTTGAAACCAACACTTGAAACCAACACTTGAAACCAACACTTGAAACCAACACTTGAAACCAACAACACTTGAAACCCAGAAAAAACCTCCGGAGAACTGCTGTTGCCGCGTCGACAGGATGGGTAACGACCCGGGGGACACAGCAGAGACTCAGACCCTTAACCATCCATACAAGGCGAGGAAGAGACACAGGATGACCCCCAGAACGCCGATCACAGCAGCAGACAACATGAGGTTGTACATCAGGATCTCCTGGTCCTCCTCATCCAGGACATCAGTAGCCACACCCAGCTTCTCCAGTACAAGCCCGAAGAGCTTAACCCCAAGACTCTGCTTTCCGTGGGCAACAGGACCCTCCAACCAATCTTAAGGAATAATTTGTTAATTATGAAGATGTATTTAGAGAAATTCAGGGTAACTTTCGAATCTTAAAAAAAAAAGAAATTTGCTCAGATTCCCAACTCTTTCTCTGCATTTTCACTTATTAAATTACAATTAACTTTAAATGATTTCCTTAAAAGCTGTTAAATATATTATTTTCTCGAGATATTTTGTTACAGGAACGAAAAACAATTATTAGTTTTAACATTCTAATTATTATACAAATTAATCTCTGAAAATGAAAATGAAGAAGGACTGAAATTGAATAAAATCGAATTCTTACCTCCATACCCGGTATTCTCCGGATCCACCACAGGCACAACATTCATCACATTCTCCGTAGAGGTGGAGAACCCTCCGACAGGATGCACACCAATAATCATTGCGGAAAATAAAGGAAGAAAATAGAAAAACTTAGATGTTACTGGGAAGGAAGAAGAAACGAAAGTGCCGGGCAAACGTGTTGGAAAACATTTGTCAGCCCCTGGAAACGGAAAAAGTATCAAAAAGTGCGTGGGCGCTACCAGCGCCCTCCGCGAAAAGACATTCAGGGTTTCCGACATTTTTCTTAAAAATCTTTTTTCTTCTAAATATTTATTTCTTTTGTTCTATTCTTTTAAATGAAAATTTTGGAATTTTTTTTTCTGATTTTTTAAATTGAAAATTTCGAAAGGTTCTCAGCAACCAGGGTTTCCATTTCCGGTCAAACCAGGGCTTCTGTAGATTATTTTTGGAATAAGAAAAAGACTACAAGTCTCTCTTTTAACAAAATTCAGAAAAAAATTATCTTAAATTTTTATTTATTTATTTTCTTCATGATTTATTGGAACTATAATGTTCTTTCTGCAGATTTTTTCCTTGATTTTAAATCGACTAAGATCATCCACGTTTTTTTTGATTCGGGAGGTTTTGTCGGAATGAGTGTAAGCACTGAGACTAAAGGTTGACTATTTTTGAGTTTTGACTTAGAAATTGAGCGCCTATCAATGCCAGGACAGTTTTAAATGTCGTCTTCGAAGAAAATACTTGAAATAAGGTTTTTAGAACAAAAAATGTCTTTTAAAGCTCCAATTCAGTCTGTCATCTATCCTTCTATCCTTGATCTGTCAATGTTTAGAAATCAGCCCCGGAAATTATCTGAATAAGAAGGACAAAGGGTGATACAGTATGAATTTATTAACATTTTCTCTTTTTTCTAGGTTGTACAGGGATATTATATCTTCACAAAGAAACATCAAAATCTTTAAACTAGGAATATTAATCCCTTTTTACAATTCTTTTTTCTATTCTGGAGAATCGACTTAGAAGGAGAAAGTACATTTTCAGAAAGATTGAAGAGAAATAATAAAGAATTTAAAAATGAATTGGAATGGTTTGATTGTATGTTGATATATTGCCTAAGAGATACTGCCTTTTTTCTTATTTTAGAATTGGTTGGAGATGGACCAAAAATTCACCCCTGATTCATATGGTGAGATTGTGCTGGCAAGAGCCTATTGGATAAAAAAGCCAGACTCAGGCAGTGGTTTGAACTCGGCCTGGATTCAGCCTGGAAGGAGTCAGTCACGGTTTGCCTGCCCCTCCGCTGCCAAGCGCTCCACGCCCTACACCCCCTTGCCAAGCACATTCTCCATCAAGCCTAAAATAGAAAAGCCTTGATTTTATTTACTATTAATAAATATTTGTGAAAAAATGATGATAGTTTGTCTTCTTACTCATTTGATTAAAAGTCCCTAAGGTTAAACCATTATTTTCTATATTGAACCGCGAGAATAACATTCTTTTCTCTAAAACATATTATTATTATAATATAACATTATAACATAACTATCCAGGTCTACTCGTTACCAAGATCAACCAGGACCAACTCTTTGATTCTAAATGCCACACAGGCAATATCTCAGTCAGGGTTACAGCCCCAGTTCAAAATGACACAGACAAATCTCAACCAGGCTTCACTCCCAGGTTCTAAATGACACACAGGCCAAATCTCAACCAGACTTCACTCCCTGGTTCTATAGGACACACAGTCTATTAAAATTGCTACACAGGCAATTTCTCAACCAGGCTACCCTCCCGGGTTTTAAAGGACACACAGTCCAATTAAATTGCTACCAGGCAATTTCTCAACTCGTATAATTCAATGAGAACCTAAAGCTCTATTTTCAAGCTCACTATAGATTCAATGCTAAATCAACTAGAAAAGATCTTTGTTTGTCATGTTTCAATGAGAACACAGACTACTTCTAATACCGTAATCAAAGCAGAGTCTTCATCAACTAACTTTATTCAATAGCCTAGAGTACAAGGTTAGCCTAAACAGGCTGGGGGTGGAGGGGGTGCGTTTGGTGCCCCCCTGTATTTTATTGTCCTAGCACTCTCATTTTTGACGCTATCACTGTAAAATTGTGTGACTTTTAATGTGTAGTATTTTATAATATTTTTTTGTCAAAAAATATTTCTTTTATTTATAGGGTAGGGTACAGGGCGGAAAAAAGTTCAGTCTGTGAAAAAATCTAAAATAGCCCATAATTTTTTTGTAACTAAATTTACAGATCAAAAACTATATTTTTAAAAAGCCCTTGAAAAATGCATTTATAAACATGTGTCTTACTTTGATATTTGTTTAAAACAAAAAAAAAATTCTCACTTTTTTGCCCCCTTTTTGGGCATTTTTTTCAACCCTCACTAACACCCAAACAATTAAAGTTATTGCTCTAATTTTTTTCTATGAGATGGCCTTGAAAAATTGGACTATGAACATGCATTTCAACCCTATACCTTTTCTCTACAGCTTTTTTCTAAGAGGGGGGGCGCCAAACCCCACCCCCCAGGCTATACCCCACAGCCTCTATAGGGTTATCAGGAATTGACGTAATTCAATTCCTTTAATGATATCACATGATTAAGACCATCATATTATGGATTTATCGCACAGTTAAAGTTTAAATTATGTATTTAAAGGATTAACGAGATTAGAAATAAAGCAGAGAATCTATCTCTGCCCATATTATTCAAGCATGTTGCATGATTTAAGGTAATCATGTTAATTATTCCATTGAAATGCAGTTTCAATGAATAGTATCATTATGGTAAGATTAAAATATTTAATCATCATACTGTAATTTTAATTATTATTAGTATTATTGTAATTATTATAATTATCAATATTATCATTATCATTATTATTATTATTATTATTATTAACATTATTATTATTGTTATTATTATATTTTTTTTTGTCTTCAGGAGGGGAGGCCTGGGAAAGTTGTAAAAATTACAGAGTCTTGGCGTTGTGTCTTGGTAAGACCTCTAACAGATGTGAATCAAATATGTGGGAAACAGACTAAAATGGGGATGGGTCTAATGCACATAACAAAAATATGATATCATCATATAACTGAGGGTCTTCTTAGCCTCATGTCTTCACAAGACTACCAAAAGATGTGGAGGAACTATCGGGAGGAACAGGCAAAATTGGGGATGGGGGAACAAGTCTTATTTTGACTTGACACAAGAATAATTCAAGACTTGGGGAATAACAGAAAACACGTCTGAAAAAGGGGACAGGGAACAGGATACCCAATTAATTAAATGGTTATATCTCATATTACAAAATGTTTGATGAAATTTGATACTTTTTGATTAATTGAGAGTCTTGGGGAGTCTCCAGGACGTCCTCCACCTCGCCCAGGACGCCCTCATTCTTGCTGGGAAGGGTTAAGAGCAGTTTAAAGTCCAGTCTGTTTAAAAACAAATCTAAAATAGCCCATAACTTTTTTGTGACTAAAGTTACAGGTATAAAAAAAATACAAGATTCAGACCCCCCAGCCTATACAGGGATAAAGTCTTGTATTGTCTAGATTCAGGAGATGAATATATCCAACAATTTTATGAGCAACAAAATTTAATTAAGGTGATTTGATAATATCTGATTTTTTCTTGTACATTTAAGCCAAAATATATATTATCTTTTATGCATTTTAATTTGGTTTTTAAAAAACTAATTTTTTTCTCAATTTTTTAAAATTTGTTTAGTCAGTCTGTGCAAAGTACAGTAATCCGTTTAGAGCAGAGTATTATAGTTTACATGGAAGGAAAGTTTGCTAATTCAAGAAAACATTTAAATTTTGTCATTTGGACTTTACAAAAATATTATTGGTGAAGAAAAATTTCAAATACAAGAAAGACGCAAGAGAGTTCGCTAGGACAGACCCAATGAATCTGTGTACACTGTGCTTTATTCAATAGACTATTAAAAATCTTAACTAAAATTAAAGTTGTCTTACTATATTACTGTTTCATGAAATCATTTTGTTTAAAATTTAAAGAAAAAATATACAGGGTGTCCCAAAAAACATGGGAATTCAGTGACAAATTCGATATCGTCTTTGTTCTGAATTAGCAAAGCTCCAATA